GAAGTTACACCTTTGCATCACAGCTCTATTTTCGAAAAGTTGTACGGTATAAAAGGACAGAACACGTTTAAATTTAATATTGGCGACCTCGTTCGAATTTCGAAAATACGTAAAACATTTAGTCGAGGATACCTACCTGGTTGGACAGAAGAAATATTTATTATTCACGATCGTTTTTCGTCTCATCCTCCGACGTATATATTGAAAGATTTAAATAACGAGATTTTGGAAGGAAGATTTTATACAGAAGAATTACAGAAGGTAACAAAATGATGCAATCGGACTTTTTCGTCACTCTGATAAGCAACGCCAGCATGGAGTTATTCCCTGAAAATAAGCAGTCTCATTTCACCGTGAAAATGAGTCCACCTATCGATTTGCGCGGGAAATGGGTAGTAGGTCTGAGCGAGGTTATTATTCCTAGAAATTGGTTCAACATATCTAATCATAATAACGATTATACTATTACTAGACATAAAATTAAAAGAGAAAAAATAACCGATGTAACACGTGAGATTCCATTAACTACAGACGATGAAGAAGGGACGCTTTTCCATTGGATAAACAAGAATATAGGATCCTTAACAGGATCTAAGTCGGCAGAATTTGTTTTAGACAAGGATTATAAAAACGTAAAACTAAATTTGAAAGAGGGATTCGAGTTGCATATTTCGAAAAAAAACGCTCATAAACTACTTTATTTTTTAAATTTAGAGACTGAAGATATAATATTTAAACAACGGAGTTCGAGTTTAATATTGCGAGATGGGAGTAAGGAATATCTATCAAATCCTATATTTTATAAAGATCAGTTTATAACTTTAGTAGAAAGAGATAAAAAAGTTGTCGAGCAAATCGATGTAGAGGAAAAAATTTTTATTCCCATCGGGTTATATTCCTCTGTTGAAAAATTTCTCGGAATTTTTAAATATATTAAATTAGCATTACTACCTAATAACAAAATCGTTTTAAAAGTTCATAAAAATATAACAATTGAATTCGGAAACGAATTAAAAGATTTGTTAGGATTTAAAAAAAGCAAATTTTCCGAAGGCGAATATGTGAGCGACTATCCCATCGAATTATCTGCCGGAATTTCAGAAATTTTTATTTATTCGAATATCGTTGCTTCTCATCGTGTTGGGGATATAACCGCTCCACTTTTAAGGGTTATACCTGTAATGGGGGAAAAGTCAGATCAAATAGTTAGGGTCTACCANACCTATTTTTGTGGGTCAGGGTGAATGCATAACTTGTTTATTAAGGAAAATCCTGTATCAGTATAAATACTGCCAGAGGTTCGGATAGCAGAAAAATGAATAGTAAGTTTTGTGAATAAAAAACACAATTTTCATATTTTAAATAGATTTTATTTTATTGAATTACAACACTGGTTATTGGTTATTACAATCGGTTTTGATAAATGAAAATTATTTTTAACAAAATTTTTAACAAATTCATCGTTATAAAATTTATCTGTTACATGCAGTTCTGATAAACATAGATTTCTATTAATTTTATATAAAAAATATAAGCAGAAATAACCACAGTTTAAGGAAAACAAACTTTGATGAATAATATTATTCCAACAATATTTTTTTGAATTTCGTTTTATAAATCTGATGATACTCACTTTCCTCAGTTTTAATCCATAACTATAGTAATAAATGCAAGAATTTTTATCTTTCGTAAAAAATACAGATACCCAATGACTTCCAGGCTTATTTTTTTCATCTAAATTAATTATAAAAGATTGTTTATTACCAATTCGAAACGGGAGATCGTCGGATGCAAAAACCCCTCCGAAATTTTTTTTTATTTTCGGATCGCTCGCTGCTAATCTCCACAACGTAACGGTATTCATTAATAGTCGACGAATACGGTTCGTGAATACTCAATTTCTAAGGTATTATTATATTCTAGCAAACAAATAACGTTTATGGTTTCTGGTAGCGCTTTCGAGAACTTTAATTCCACAGAAATGTTTCCTAGCTGGTTCACGCTAACGTGGTTTTCGGAGCCTGATTTATCGGGTGTAAGATCGAAACAATATAAAGTATAACCGTCTCGGTACTCGTCGTACGATATATTTATAGATTTGTGATGATGAATACATCCGGTATCTTCGAATAACGAGATAAAATTTCTTGCATAAATTTTATTGCTATAATCCGGAGTATAGGGTTTAGAAGTAATCATTTGATTGTCTTTTGATAAACATATATAATTTGAATCATACTTTTTAAAATTAAAAGGATTACGCTTCACATTTCCATTAAATGCAGAATTAAAAACTAATCCGAGAGTTATTCTATAAGGTAGTTGGCCGATAACAACGTTTGATATACTTGTAGACTGAATCCCGCTAGTTAATGTAAAGACTTTAACATCTGTCCTACGGAACGGTAATTTAATTATACCGGTTTGGAGCGCTTTTTCAAACCCTATCTGTATTGACGAACTAACGTCTACTTTATTAATTTTCAGCGATGCGTTTTTAATAATAATTTTATAGTCGTCGTTATTTGCCATTAGCGCAAAATTTACTTTAGATCTTTCCAATTTAATTCTTAGGTCTACATTGTTCGTTAGAAGCTTAGGCTGGTTCGCTAAATCGATATGAAGACGTCCCATTAAATCTATTATTCTATTTCCTTTGCTGATGTTAAATCTTTTAACTAATTCGTAGTTAGTATTCTTTTCATCTAACGGATTTATCGAATCCATTTGTCCAGCAGTATCTTTAAAAAATAACGCGCTCGTTAAAAAAGTTTCTTGCACTTTTTTCGAATTAAATAGCAAGGCATCTAATATAGCGCGATACT